AAGTGTCTTGGTGGATAAACGGGTACCTATCTAGTAACAATCCAGCCTTAACCCTACAAATTATACATTATAATGCATCATTTGTGATTTTCTTACAGAATACGTGTGACAAACAGAAACAGAAACTTCTTTATTCTATATAGATTATAAATAATACTTACTATAAAACACTTTTTTTAATTTACCACTAATTCGACAAAAAAACCTCTGTCCTGGGAAGAACCAGCAAGAAACCCAGCGGAACTATTTTTTTTTTCAAATAACAGCCTACAATCATGTCCATCACAAAATAAATTAGAAATAGTTAGGTAGCGATCACCCTTCCCAGGAGTTATTATCATCCATAAATTCCATAATATTATAATAACCCTTTTTATACAAACTTAATTCAATAAAGTTTTTGAACTTTGTGCAGGTCAAATTTTGTATATTTTCTGGTACTTTGTTGTAAAAGCGTATACATCGCCCTAAGAATGAATTATTGACTCGATGGAGTCGAGTAACTGGTACTACTAGCTTGTGTCTGTTCCTAATATTTACAGACCAAATATCACCTATTTTTGTAAAACTGCTTTTATTTTTGTGTACGTACATTACATTTTCATAAATGTATTGAGAGGTCAAAGATTATATTTTAATTACCTTAATTTTTTGTCTGAGCAACTATTTATGTTTTAAATCATAGGTTGCTCTAATATGCTGCAGAATTAAGTCTGCTAGCTATCTATATTCTATTCTCTCTTATTTTTAATCTTATTATTATTATCTCTCATTCCAAGGTTGACCCATTTCTTATGCTAAAGTGACTGGACTAAGAACGTTAGCAGCTCGTGTTCGATCTCCATCCACCAGCAACATTCAATGCAATTGATAATTGCAATTTTAAGTGCTGAACCAGAACCCACAAATCATTGCAAGTCCAAGATTGCCTCCCACAAATAGACTGCCCATCGAACGAAAACATTTCCTTAAAATTAAGCTATTTAAAGTTCAATTGTCCAGTCATAAAAAGAATATCAAGGGGTGCAAGAAATACTGTAGCCCTCTCATTGTCGTCATGCATCAATGACATAGTAAATAAAAATGATTCAGAAAGTTGGAAAAAATTACTTACTTTTTCATATCGTACACTGCACGTTGCTAAGGATGGTGAAGGCAATGGCATCTCTCTCACACAAAGAATAAAACATAATTGCTTTAGCTCAGTAAACTCGGTCGACAATAGTAACACACAGAATGAATTTATAAATAAAATTAATTACAATATAATTAAAAAAAACTGAATCAAAGTTGAACGATGGCGATTTGAGAGGTGCAGCTCGCCTCCTTTTCTCGAGTGATGCGGTGGCACCTGATACTCCGTAGACTTTGTTTTCCCTGAGGGCTAAACATCCACTTCCATCGGCTCCCTTAAAGTTACCAGATGCTCCTGACTCCTCTGAGCGTACACCGGAAGCCACTGCTGAGGAGGTACAGGCTGCGATCGATTCCTTTAGTAATGGATCGGCCAGTGGTCTTGATGGTCTTGCACCTCAACATTTGAAAGATCTTCTATCAGGTGCTAGGGGAAACACTGGCCGAGACCTTCTAAGTGTCTTGACGCAACTTGTAAATTTAATGCTTTCCGGAAAAGTTTGCCCAAACATAACGCAGGTATTTTATAGGGCAAACCTGTGCGCCCTTAAAAAAAAAGGATGCAACTATTCGGCCCATAGCAGTTGGTAACACAATTCGCCGCATTGTTTCAAAGGTTTACTGCAAACATATCCAGCCAGACCTCGCGGCCATATTCCAGCCTGTGCAGCTAGGTTTCGGGATAAAAGGCGGATGTGAAGGGGCTGTTCATGCTGCGCGTACCTTTCTGAAACACGGCGGCGGTGAGGTGCTGCTGAAGGTGGATGTTGAAAATGCGTTTAACTCAGTAGACCGAGGAGCTCTGCTGACACAGGTAAAACAAAATATTCCATCCATATACCATTACCTTTGGCAATATTACAGTTCACCATCTTCACTCATGTACAAAAAACACCAAATTTTATCCGCTGTTGGTTGTCAGCAGGGTGACCCGCTTGGTCCGGCAATTTTTAGTCTGGCATCCATTTATTTCTGCTCTCAAATCAAAATTCAATGTCTGGTATTTAGATGATGGAACACTGGGAGGCGAAGCGAACTCAGTGCTTGGCGATTTAACCAGTCTTATTGCTACTTTCAGTTCTATTGGCCTCAAATTGAATTTTTTTAAAATGCGAACTTTTTGTTAATGAGAATTTACCCACCTGCGAAAAAGATCAAATTGTTAGCAAATTTAACTCCCTAGCCCCAAATATAAAAATAATTAACAGCAAATCGCTTCGCCTTCTAGGTGTTCCTATTCTGTATGACTCCCTTCAATGCTTTGTGAGTGAACAGATTTTAAAATTTGAGGAGTCATCCAGTCGTCTAAAAGAAATTAGCCCACACATGGCATATGCTATACTAAAATTTTGTCTTTTTGTGCCAAATTTTACGTACGTGCTGCGGTGTTCAACTCTTTGGATGCACGTCCCATTTTTAAATCGCCTCGATGATATTATATTGTTAAGGAAAACTATGATAGAAATTCTAAATTGTCCATTAAATGAAAATTCCTGGGTTCAGGCCACTCTTCCTGGACTAGACTTGGTGGTCTAGGCATCAGAAGAGTTTCCAGCGTAGCACTTCCGGCTTTTTTGTCTTCAGTTCATAGCACGTCAGACCTCATTGGAACAGTTATTAACCCATCACTCGGTGATGTAGAGGTCTCGTGCTTGGCTGAGGCCAAGGAAGCCTGGATCAATAAGACCGGGCCGGACCAAGTTTTTCCGACAAACCCAGCTTTGCAGAGGCATTGGGATGAGCCACTCTGTATCCAGGTTCAAAAAACCCTATTAGAAAACTGTGCAAACCCTACAGATCGAGCTCGTCTTCTGTGGAGAAGGAGTCGGGCTATTGGTTGAATGCGCTGCCCTCATCGAATATCGGTACACTCTTGGACAGTACTACTTTCTCACTTTCTATCAGCCTGAGATTGGGTTTAAAAACCAATGAGCTCCATCGCTGCCGCTGTGGTAAAGAGGTCGACATTGTTGGCCACCACGGCCTAGCATGCCAGCGGAGTGCTGGTCGCATCCCTCGTCATGCAGCCATTAATGACGTCATTCGACGAGCCTTAACCAGTGCAAACGTACCTGCAATTTTAGAGCCAAACGGTATATTGCGGGACGATGGCAAGAGGCCTGATGGAATGACGCTCATTCCATGGAAAAATGGGCGCTCCTTAGTATGGGATGCAACTTGTGTTGACACATTAGCGCCATCACATCTTGCGGCGACTGCACAGGAGGCAGGCGCCGCTGCTGCTGTTGCCGAGTCTAACAAGCGGCGCAAATATGTAGCCCTCGAAGAGGGATACATGTTTGTGCCGTTTGGTGTAGGAACGCTAGGGCCGTGGGGTCCTGATGCAAGACGTTTGTACATGGATATCTCATCACGCCTTGTCAATGTCTCTGGTGACCCAAAAGCTAGAAGATATTTTGGTCAGCGGATCAGCCTCGCAATACAGCGAGGCAACTCAGCCAGTCTTCTGGGCACACTATCAACTGACGGCGGCGATTTAGCAAATATTTTTTACTTAAATTAAGCTTTTTATGCTGTATAATTTTTTAAAATACTATTTTCCTTTAACTTGTCTATTATGTTAATTAGAAATATTTACGTTTTAATTCCTTTTTTTTTAAATATTATGTTCATTTTTTAGTAAATTGTAAAATTTATAATTCCTAATTAAAGTTCGTAAAATTCTTAAGCAATTATTAGTTTATACAATTGTGAAATCAATAAATATATTCAATATAAACATATAATTATAGTGCTGAATTACCTAATGCCCTTCGGTAAAGGAAAAAATTGTAAGGAAATCTGCATATCTGAGAAAATAAATTATTTCGAAGACGAGACAGCAGAATACAAATTTCTGAGTAGGTACATTCTCACAGGAAATAATTGAGAGGAGGCCTGTACAGGCTCTTATATAGGCTGTAACTTTACTTTTTAGCAGAGTTCAAAGAAGTTTGCAGAACCCTCCTGATTTAATTCGAGTGTAAGTTCTTTTTCGGTATTGTAAAATTTTAATTATTCTTTTTAGGTTACCTCCAGGAGTGATCCCTTGTAAATATGGATGAAAAATTCCAACCCTATGAGGGTCAAAACGGTATAAAGTTTTAAATGTAGCTATTTTGACGACATTCGTGCTTTTGACATTCCTTAGTTCACTCAAAATGGTCAAAAAATTAGTTCATATAAACGTTATATCCACACTAGGATTTTCTCCTGTATCGGTTGGGCAGTTTACATACGTAAATTTCACAATGCAAACATCAAGACCTGAAACAATTATTTGTAGGCCATACAAATACTTATTTCGTGCGGGATTCGAACCCGCGGCCCTTTGCGCTGTAACTCATAATACACTGCGCCACGGTATATTCTATAGTTAAAAGAATAAAATAATTTTCGCATAATAGCTTCAGAAGTCGGCTGTAATGCCTCCGTATACACTATGTCCTACAAACGCCTTCTGAAGTAATTAAACATAAATTATTCTCTTTTTTATTATTTAACGTTTATATTTAGAAAGGATAAAAAATTATACGTCTCCTTAATCTTAGGAAACCTACCTAGCCGATGGCAAATGAAATAAACGTTTTGATAAATTAAATTTAATGTTTAAATCTGTTTATTTTAGACAGATAGAAACGTGAAGTTTCTGTAGGCCCGTAATGCGATTCTCTAACATGGTGTTCACGCTCCTTTATGGAAAACAATTGCATTGATCTCGTAATTATGCGTCACAGTACGTTCGCGTAAAAACCACACGGCTCTCTGCTCTTGAGTGTAAGTATAAAGGCGACGCAGCGTTCATCTTTACATCAATACTGTAACGTTACTCCATACTAAATACGTGTGACTAGATATTTTTAACAATGCATACATTGGTAAGTAGTTTATTTTAATTCTTGGTGTCTGTAAAAAGTAATTTGATTAATTAAATAATATATTTAAGCATAAATTTAAATTAGACCCATAAAAATTTTAAAATATTTTTCTTAAGGAGTTTTACGGAAAACGAGATATTTTGGTAAATTTTATATTCGAATCCCTATGACAAACATATTCTCTGGGAAAAAAAACATTTTATGTTAAACTTAGTTCCTATAGGACTATTTTCCAGCAGCAATGTTTAATTATTTTAATGTAAAATGTATTATCATCATCATTAATCATCATAGTTCCTTCACAAGTTCACTGTTGAACGACCTCGGTCCTACACGGTCCTGACCACCTGAGCCACCAGCATCCTTCGATTTCCTGCATTTATTACCAGGTCATCACTCCATCTAATAGGAGCAGCACTACACTTATCTATATTATGTATTATCTATATTATGTATTATGTATATTATAGTAGCTGAGAGTCGTGGCAGCTTGAAATTAAGCGCTATTTGTAAATGTCACAGTACGCGATCAACCTGCGTCCGATACCCGTCGGCACCGATGAAATTATAAATTGCTAATTTACCACGTGCTCGGTAGTGAAGGAACATATCGTAAGGAAACCTGCATCTTAGAAATTATAGTAGGCTTGTACCCAGGGTTTTGTTACTTTACTTCTTCCTTAACTTATAATATTTACGGGACAGTAATGAGGAATTAGCAGAACTTGTCTCTAAAAGTTGTATTTAGTTACAACAACTATCAATGTTTATTGTACTATAAAGAAATAACGCTCACGGAACGGTGTTTAATTTATATAGATTTTATATTTATTACGGTCAAGGATCAAAGGATTTGATATTTGTTAACGTAATTTGTAATTTATATTTTCATATACCTAACCGGTAGTGTAAGAATATCCTATATAATAGTAAGTGGCGACAGAAGGAAATAAACTAGAAAATGTGCAGCAGTATCTTCCTAATAAGAACTAAAAAATAAAGTGTGGTTGCCAACCGGTTGCCAGCCGAGCGTGGCAATTGTGGCAAATATCCTATAAGGTAATCTATAAGAGAGGTGTTTATTCAGCAGCGGATTCTGGAGATTCTGAAGAAATAATTTAAAGTTTTTAAATCGTAATATTATAATGAATTCTTCTGTTTTACTTACTGTAAATTTCTTTATAATTTTAAAGTATTACATACAATAGCATTGAATTAAAAAAGAACAAGAAAGTAAGAAGATTTATTTGAAAAAATAAATTCTCATATCAGAATTGTAGAAATTGTGCGCTGGAACTTTAGCTTGCAATTTTCTTTAATTCTCCAGAAAAAGGACAATTAAAAAAAACAATAACCATTTCTAACAGACACCACACTGAAAGCAAGACTGAATTAAGCGAAAAATTACAATGCTTATTTTAAATTAATATGTACATTAGATTTACAGTAACGTCAGAGAATAAATATTAGTACTACGTAGTTATGTGAGACTTCGTGATCTCGTGACTGGCTCTAACGTCAACTTACACTATACTTTTTTTTATATAATAAAGGTGACAAACGAGCACACAGTCTACCTGTGATGGTAAGTGGATGCTGCGGCCCATAGAAATCTACATTTATTCTCGATTAAGAATTAAAATTCCTCGTTTCCAGTAAAAACTGCCTTTGGTTCTCTGTACTAACCATGCGAAACTCAGCAGTACGTGCGAGAGCGTGGTCGTACCCCGGTCGAGCCAACCCTTTCGTGCTACAGCCATAATATAGCTGCAGCGTGTCTCTACCACGTATAAATTAACTATTTAAAAAAAATTACATACATCAGTGAATGGGGCACTACACTCTATTATGAAGAACCAGAATTTGTCAAAACAGGCACGTATGGTAATTCATAATGCTGTGTTAGTCCCTACTTTAATGTATGGTAGTGAAAGCTGGGTGTGGCAGAAGAAGCACGAAAGTAGAATAAATGCTGTAGAAATGCGGTCTTTAAGGAATATGCTAGGGTGTAATCTGAATGACAGGGTGAGAAATTGCGTGATAAGAGATAAATGTGGTATGCAAGATGATGTTGTGACCAGGATTAAGAAAGGAATGCTTCGGTGGTTTGGTCACGTAAAAAGAATGAATGAGGAAAGAGTGACAAAGCAAATTTATATGGCAGATGTGAATGGCCGAGTCGGGAAGGGACGCCCTAGGAAAAAGTTTATCGACCAAATTGGCGATATTTTGAAAATGGGCCACGTTAGAAGTACCCTTAACCGACGAGCATGTATGCGTAGATATATGGATGTAAAGGAGGCGAAAGAGGTATGTCAGGATCGTGCCAAATGGAAGTCCGTAGTCTCTGCCTACCCCTCTGGGTGACAGGCGTGAGTGTTTATGTTATGTTATATTACATACATCAATTATCGCCCATGTTTTTTTTTTATATTTTAATACTTTACTTAAGAATACTAATACATCCGTTGATCACTTCAAGTCGGCAAGACATGTATTGAGGGTGGTACACGACAGTATGCGAATGGCAAATTCGAACGTAGTATTTTTAAAATTATATTAACCTACTGATGCTGTAATGCAGCCTCTTATCAAAATAATCGTGTAGATAATACCTTATTTATAATAACAAAAACAAAAAGGAATTATTTCCTCCAAGTTTGCGCAATTTAAATTTATTTGGTGGTGCAGGATTGGGAGCCAGCATTTGTGAAAAAACATAATTTGATTCGAAAACCTATAAAGTATGTATTTTGTGATTATCCCTTTGTGATACCGTATCCTACTCTACCACCGATCTTATCTATCGCATTTGCCTTTTGTCGAGTGCAGGTTAGTACGAAAGTGCGCTCTCCTTCGTTTTAGATATCTTCCAATTATTTGGAACTTGTTACCGCAGTCGAAAATCGGCCAAAATTATATAACCATCAAGAAAAAAGTGTTGTAATCAAACATTAATTCATGTGCATAAGTTTTGTGCGAGTAAGAAATAAAAAGTTAAGGTGTCTGACGTCACGTACTGCCTTAAGCTTGAGTACCTTGAACTACTTTTTGTTATCCATGTTTACGAAACGAAAAACCCCAATATAAGCATGTGTATAAAGTATTAACGTTTTTAGGACATATTTGTTTTAGTTGAGATCTTCGGCTTTAATTATCTACATGTGAACAAACAAATGTACATTTTCAATCATTAGGGAACTTCCTTCCTTATTTTATTATTTCGAATGCATATTCACTTTATTTACTTATCGATAAAACATAAATATAAATCACATACCACGATAAACTTTTAAATAATAAGGAAGTATTATACATAATTTTTTAATAATAACCCGAAGTAGCCGTCTGGTTTTTAAGGATACATAATGCCCAAATATGTAAAAGTGAAAGAACATTTAGAAAAGTTTGAATAATGTTTTGAGCTCATTTAAGACTATTATTCAAAGAGTTTATGGCCTAAAAAGAAAAGCCTTGAAGTATGAAGTGCAAACCTTACTTTAATTACTGCATTGTTCGTTTTCACCATTTCATTTTCGTTACGCTTTATTATGTTCCCATATATTGTAAATCTTAGGCCTTTGTTACATATCTAGGGCTTCATCACCACCACCAGGTGGGGCTGTAATCAAGCACAGGCTTAAAATAAGTTAAGAAACCCTTTGATACATGTACCTTCTACTTATATAATGCTAACCTAACCTTGATTTGGTTAGATCACAGACACAGAGAAACCAGCATCTCCTTATTCCATAGGATGCACTTCAGTGTGCGCAGGAATTACCCCTTTCTGCCATTGGACAACCAGGCGGTTGGCGGGTCTTCCCCCTTTCTTTGATATTCTAATTCTGTAGTTGTAATGCCTTGTTGGGCAGCGTTCGGGAAATTACGACACATCTTCTCGTCAGGTATACCTCAATCTCTGAAAACTAAAGTGTACAACCAGTGCGTGTTGCCAGTGATGACTTACGGATCAGAGACGTGGTCCTTCACTGCTGGCCGTATGAGGACGCTCAAGATCGCTCAGCGAGCTATGGAGAGGGCTATGCTCGGAGTTTCTCTGCGTGATAGACTCAGAAATGAGGATATCCGCAGTAAAACCAGAGTGACCGACATAGCCCAACGAATTAGTAAGCTGAAGTGGCAATGGGCCGGCCATATAGCTCGAAGAACCGATAACCGATGGGGAAGAAAGGTTCTCGAGTGGCAGCCTCGTACCGGTAGGCGTAGTGTAGAGCGACCCCCCACTAGATGGAGTGACGACCTGGTAAGACATGCAGGAAGTCGATGGATGCAGGTGGCTCAGGACCGTGCTTTGTGGCATTACTTGGGGGAGGCCTATGTTCAGCAGTGGACTTGTGAAGGGCTGTAATGATGATGATGATGATGATGAATGCCTACAGCATCAGAACTACAAGACGCCATAATTTTCAAACCGTAATTCTTCGTCTTTGAGGGCATTATTTTTTTACGTGGAAGAGCCACGCTGCTATATTATGGTTGTGGAAGGAATAGGTTGGCTCAACCGGGGTGGGACCACAGAATACCAGGGTAAAATAGCAGCTTGATGCTGCTGTTCGTGTGATAAGTGCAGAGAACCGGAGACCCCATCTGCATTTTGATAAAATGACCTACATGTTTATGGGCACGTATCCACTTCCATCAAGTATATCTCGTTTAGCCCATTCTATGTAAACAATAAAAAAATATTATTTTTCATATTTTTTTCAGAACATATTTTTATTTTGCATTCTGGGGGTGAGTGTCGTGCAGGGTATCCTAGAACTTAACAATGACTTTAGCGATGCCCAAAGGAGAACTTCAGGTGGATATGGCTTGCTAAGACCTGGCTATCCAAATTACTCGGGAGGATTCGGAGGTTATCAAGGAGGATATAACACAGGATATAACACAGCATACAATAATGGAGGTTACGGCGGAAGTTACAATCCCGGCTACGGAGGTTCTGGAGTAGGGTATCCGAATCAAGGCAGTTACCCCGGTGGCTATCAAGGTAAGCAAAATAGTTTATGAAATATTATAGCAATAGATAGAGATCTAAGGTAGACTGAGACCGACAGCATTTAGGGGAGAAAACGTAGCCACGTTCCAAAACCTATCAAGGTTTTGTCTGATCTGATGTCAATTTTAAAAAGTTTATATTTAATCCCTGTCAGCAATATTGTAATTGCTACGATATAGTAAAGGCATAAGAGAAACTTTAATTTAATTTTGTCTCGTGCGTGTCGCAAGAGGAGACTTAAGAAAAGTTTCAAAAAAATATTATGGTCTCCAACATATGGGATATAACTATCTCGCATTTAACCGCTATGTCAAGTATAAAATTCCCAGTACGGTGACAAGAGCGGAGTCAAAGATACGAGACACCTGGAACTTCGATTGCCAATCGTCTTGCCAAGCGTGTGCCAAGCAGTGATTACGCCATATCTATATCATATATATTTTTGTATGTTTATTCCGGCTAATCTCAGAAATGACTGGACCAATTTCGACGGGATTTTCACTGGCAGATATCTGATGTTATAATATGTACTTATATAACTTGAACTACTTTTATTTAAAAAAAAGAATTAGTATTCCGCGCAAAAAATAATTAAATCCATGAAATCGTGAATACCAGCTTAACGCTGCTGTGTTTCGTATGGTGAGTGTAGAGAACCGTAGACCCTTTTACTGGAAACGATGCATTCCATCTTAGTCCTCTCGGGTAACAAAGCATTTACATTTTGATTCGTAATTGAGGATAGATGTGGCGGATAGAGGTGGACTGTGTGCTGGTTTGTCACCGTTATCCTATAAAATAAATCATAGTGAAATAGTCAACATATAACCATATACAGGTTGTTAGTGTAAGCACCGTTATCCTTGAAACCATTGGTTTGGTTTCACTTATAGAACGTAAATTCAATGAAAAATAGCAACATTTTTTTTTTAGTAAAATCTTAATTCCTCAATTTTTTCCTGACCTATGTCAGGATGAAAGTATAAAGGAAAAGTTACATCACAGATTAAGTGTACCTATTATGTTTATATTTTTAGTCTCCAGTGATTACGTCACTCGGGCGCGTAGGGTATCCATGAATTTACGGACGGTGTCGGACAGAAACTTTTTAAATTTTATGAATAAAATAGCGTTTTTTTTAATTTCTTTGAATTTACGTTCTATAAGTGAAACCAAATCACTGGTTTCAAGGATAACGGTGTTCACACTAACACTTTGTATAAAATGATACGTTCACGGGGAACAGCTGATCCTCACTATAATGGAAAACGATAACATCCAGTAGAGACATATGAACAGAAAGGTGTCCACAAATTCATTCGACATACCAGGGTGGTCTTAAGTTTCCGACCTCAACGTGAAGATGGCAGCACTCGTCAATAAAAGCTAGTGAATGTAGTTGAGCATCTTGTGATAGTTACGCAACAAAATTTCAGCCATTTTGGACGTATAGTTGTTATTTGACAGTCGTTTAAGTGTGTCGATGTGAGCGTTTTTGTGAAAATGGAAAATATTAAGTATCAAGCAGTCATTAAATTTTTGTTTTTGAATGGCAATACGCCTACGCAAATCAAAGATGAGTTGTACCCTGTGAGCGAGGACTCTACACCATCATTTACCGCAGAGAAATTTTGGGCAGCTGAATTTCAACGTGGCTGTGAGAACTTGAGAGACTATGAATATTCGGGACGTCCAAAAACTGCAACTACTGACAATAACATCGCTAAAGTTCACCAAATGGTGCTAAACGACCGCCGAATTAAAGTGAAAAAGATAGCAGAGCCTATGAAAATGTCCAAAGAACGTGTTTGTCATATAATTAAATCAAGATTTAGGCATAAAAAAGTTGCCAGCAAGTTGGGTGCCACGTTTTTGGTCTGCTCACGTTAGACCAAAAACATGTTCGAATGAACATTTCCAAAGCTCTGTTGGCGCAGTTTAGGCGCAACAAATCCGATTTTTGGAGCTGATTAATTACTGTAGATGAAACTTGGATACACCGTTATACGTGGACTGCAAAGGGGGGACCGGCTCCAAAAAAAGCAATAACTATTTTTTCGGCTGGGAAAATAATGGCTGATTGTTTTTGGGATAGTATGGTATTTGATCTACTGTCAGTATTTGACAAACTTAGGGCAGAAATTGCGGAAAATCGGCCACATTTACAGTAATATAAAATCCTGTTTCACCATGACAACGCGCCGTCTCACACCTCAGCGGTTGCCTAAATTACTGTTTGAACTGCTAGACCATCCGCCTTACTCACCAGATCTAGCCCCAAGCGACTTCTTTTTGTTCCTTAATCTAAAAATTGCGGAGGACAGAGATTTTCGTCAAATCCCCATTTGACGAAAATCTCTCGAAAGGCAACCACCTTTGTGAACAATTATTTTGCAGAGAAAAACGCCGAGTACTATTCGGATGTGTTAGGGAGATAGGATCATCGTTGGGAGAAGTGTGTTGAGTTACAAGGAGACACGTAGAAAAATAAAAATAAATTTAAGAAAAAATGTCTTGTGTATTAGCTAGGTCGGAAACTTTGCAGACCACCCACGTATACATACACTACACATAGGTAGCATACTTAAGTAATTATTACGTGAATATAAAACAAAGTACTTTAAAATTATAAATGTCATGACACGAAAGCTATCTGCTCTCATATAATTTAATCTACAAAATGCAGGCGGTTACGGCGGATACCCGGACTACGTTGGTGGAGCTTACGGAGGTGTGTACTTATTCCTTCTCCTACTCAAAACACTATTTAGTGACAGTAAGTTCACTCGAACGTAAATTATTGCGCTTAATGCACTTTATTAACCTGCTGCATTAATTTGGTAATAGGTGTCTAATAGAGTAGCTTTTACTTGCAAGAATATTATCATATAGATAATATTATAACATCTAAATATGAAATATATTTTAATATGTAAGATATAGACTCTAAACTTAAATTAAAATACATGCATACAGTGCAATTATTATATTGTTAAAATTTAATAATAGAACAACGTATTGCTCCGTATGTATTCTTAAGTACCTAATATTTAACTACAAATAAGTAATAGTAGTTAAGTCTATTCTTCTATTAAAAGCTTGTTAAATTCTTGGTTTATTAATGTGTGTTAAATAAAAACAAGAAACATATTTATTCTAGTTCTTAAACTATATATGTATTTCAATTTAATATCTCAACTAAATGAGTAGCACTTTAAGCTTATTTAAAAAAAGGTTTTTGTTAAAACTGTACTTTGCAAAACCCTTTCTTAATAAAAAATTAATTGAATAAGGTTGAATCCTGAACTGCTCCATAACGCAAAATAGGCCTGGAGTATACGTACAGTGGCACAAATTTTTTATAACATTTAATGTATTTTTTTAGGTAATCGTCCCAACTACAGACCGGGCTACGACGGTAGACCTGGCTACAACTATCAGTCAACCGGCTATCAGGGTTACAGGCCCGGCTATAACCAGTACAGGCCCGGTTTCGATCGGCCTTACCAGGGTTACAACGGATACTTCGGCGGTTATCGTGACAGCTACAACGACAACTTGGGGCTGTTGGGACGAAAAGTGTCCGAAATAAAGAAAGATGACACCGAAGCATAGGTTAAGAAACTAAATATAGACGATAATAAATAATAGCTTTATTAATTAATTTTAATTTTATGATATAAAACAGTGTTATATTTATTTATTATTTTTATTTTGCCAGTATAAACCGACAATTGTTTGACTTTAGCTAGCTGTAAGTACTTACAATAAAAAAGGGAAATCTTTCGACACAGGAAATCAAGACTTAAAAAAAATAACTTAGTATTACAAAGATTTATTTGCACTTGCAATTGATAAAATTTAAATAATAAATAAAATAATATGATTCACATAGTTTAAGAGCCGCTAAACCAGTCTGACGTCATGGAATTGAAGAACGAGGCAGCACCCGACCTAGCGTTCGCAAAGTTGATAGGCAGTGAACTTGTCATCAGTTCGGATATATCCGATTTCGACTTGCTGGGACTGGCTGCGGAGACTGGCTTCTTCTTAACCTGAAAATAAAAAGTTTTAATTGAAAAAAGGAATCTAAAATATATTTGCGCTTCAAGAAAAATAACTCATCACGTCCGACTCCTGTAATTGTAACAAGCATTATGTAGAAACGAGTCAGTTAACTGGTAACAGTTTCTTAAATTAAGCGATGGTGACCTCGGAGCTGATCTTTACTACGGCGGAAAATTCCGAAAACTATCGAAAGCTATCTGAACGTAGGACTCGCTTTTTTATTTTACAACCCAAAATGTTTGACTTTCACATCTGCTGTTAAGTTCACTGACTAAGCCCAATAGAATGCTTTTCATTTTTGAAAACATCCACGTGGTAAAGCACGAATTATGGTTGTAGCACGAATGGGTCGGCACAACCGGGGAAGCACCACGCTCTCGCATAATACAACGTGAAATAGCCATTTAATGTTGCTGTGTTTCATATGGTAAGTGTAGAGAAACGGAGACCCTTTTACTGGAAATGGGGCATACTATCTCAGTCCTCAGGGGTGACAACGCATCTGCCTTTTTATTCTTAACCGAGGTGTAGATATTTATGGACCACTGCATCCACTTACCATCAGGTGAACTATGTACTCGTTTGTCACCCTTATTCTATAAAAAATCACGTAGTTTTCATTGTCGGTATTACTATATCGTACATATCAGATCAGTTAAAATATTCACACTGTTAAGGAGGAAAAGCGTGAATAGCACGAGACGTTATAGACAGAGACACGATAGTCCAACTGCAAAGCGGGTCCCCATCATCAGTTTCTGGAATTAGTATTCAGCATATTAGAATAAAGTGGTAGTGTAAGAGAAACACCTACTCTTACACCACCACTTTATTCTCTATATCTTATCTTATGGGTATCTTAATAGGCGACAGAGGGAAACTGAAATAGGCAGATAGTGTAGCTGGCTAGCTGGGGATAGGCAGCATCATCTTCCTGATAATTACAACTCAAAATAATGAGAGACTACGGTCGCCAACCCGCCTACCAAACTCGCTAATTATGGTGTGGCGGCGCTGTCGTCGCGCCGCAAGTGAAACACACCGAAGCTTAAATCACGCTATCAATATTCCGAATCATAAACAGCATATATAGAACATCTCCGAACTATCACAAGGAGTGTTGGCCGCTCCCCGGGCAGAACACCTTGCCCGGCGGGAGATCTCCCCTTTTCCTACTTCGGCCACAGTGGTGACCATCCGACGTGATCTGAACACGCAACCAACGACCTTCGGAAACTACAACTTCAAGCCTTCATCATCATCCTCAAGAACCCCTACCATTTACTTCTGCAGTCTTCAGTTCCTGCAAGCCAGTCCAACTTGTCTTCATCTCGACTCACCGCAGATTTATAAGGCAGACTTCTGGCACTTGCTCCGGCACATCGTTCACACCGGCATCACTTGCCAGTGCGCAGTACGGCATGCATTACACATCGGCATATCATTCGCACCGGTGTCACTTGCCCTTACGCACACACCGGCATTAAAAGGACACACCGGAAATCGGACTACACTATGGACCTCCGCTTTGAACAGGGGGTGATGTGGCGGCGCTGTCGTCGCGCCGCAAGTGAAACACACCGAAGCTTAAATCACGCTATCAACATTCGAATTCACACGGAGTGATGGCCACGAACACCATGCCCGGCGGGAGATCTCCCCTTTTCCTTCCACGGCCACAATGGCAACTCCACTCATGAGGCAATCTATGGGGGAGGCCTTTGTACAGCGATAAACTTTTGATTTCCCGTTATAATTCGGCTGCCAACTTCTCGTCTACCAAACCAGAGGATGCAGATCGTGCGGGTGGTATTAGACACAGAATAAATTGCCATATGGCCCCTTAAACCTCAATTATAATTATAATTTAGTGACGACTCAGACCTCTCGCATTTGCTATACGTTTGCCTGCAACGGCGCATGGCCGCAAGTGTGAATTCCGTTTTGAACAATTGTTTGTATGGGCTACAGATAATTGTTCCCGTTCTAGAAGTTTGTCTATGTGAATTTATGCATGTAAAACGCCCTCAAAGATATAAGAGAGAAACTTATTATTGAGGTAAAGGTTTGTACAAACAAAAAAATAGACAGTGATTTTTTTACCATCTGGAAAAAATACGGTGTAACAGGTGAACGGAATAGAAGCCTATGTCACTGATATTTTACATTTTTTTTACATTAAGGTGAAGTGGGCGCTAAAAGCAGATATTTCGCGTTTTATAGATGCGACTAGCGGCATTTTGATTTTGATTGATTTGATATTTCTTTTTAAAATTATATATACTTTTTATTGAAAAATATATATAATTTTAAATATATTCATAATGCCCATAATTCACTCACATATTTACTGGTAAACACATAGCCTGAATTTAATTGAAATTGATTTCATCACATTCGAATAAAACTGCTTTTTCACTTAGTGGACGTACCTAAAATTGTAGATTTTGAGGAAACTGCGATCTTTTTCTATCAAGCCAAAATGTGTCAATCGTGTTTTTTACCAACATAATTCACTAAGAATTTTTTTTTACTTTCATAATGAATTTAAAAAATGTGAATTCGTAGATTTTAATGACAAAAAATTGCTTTTCTGCGCCTTCTTTTTAATATAACCTATAAAGCGTGAAAAACCTGTTTTAGGCGCCCACATCACCTTAAAATATTACGAAATGGATCTATCAATAAATACCTCTAATGGGGTGCGTATTATTTTAATTTCGATGGTTTTTAATTATTTCAAAATTTTGTTTTATTTTTCATTACCGAAAGTTTATTTCAAGTTAGTGGTATTTATTGATAGTTAAATTTCAGAATATGTTAATGTAAAAGCAAAAAAATTGTAAAATATCAGTGCCATAGGCTTCTATTCCGTTCATCTGTTACACCCTATTTTTTCCTGACGGTAAAAATACCATTCAGTATATTTCATTTGTGACTACTGCATGCATGTTACAGTTCTTAGTGATGGCAATGTTAGATATCCACGCACACTGCTTATCGATAAGTCACATATTGCAAATTTAGTGATAAGATAAGATGACACGCGAAAATTCTATTTTATTTGATATAACCTTACGACTTAAATACTTTTATTATGTCTTTTTACATTTAGTACTGTACCTATATCAATCATTTTTTTATTAAGGTGATTATAACAAAACTCAACATAAAAAATTGCCAAACAGTGTGTTAGTATTCATTACAAAACAACAAAAACAACACTACTATCATACCCATTATTGGCGGTTCGAAGAAATCATTATTCTGTTAAAATAAATTAAAGTTTTAAAATTAATAAAATTATTACGTGATTTACTATAATTACTAGCTTGTCAGGCAGACGTTGGTCTGCCCTTTTCGACGACCCTTTGTCATGTCCTATTAAAAATCCTTAACTAACGTAACTAAATTAACTTAACGCAAAAAAAGTGTGTCACTCATGGGCAAAAAAACTATCCTATCTCTCAAGTTGGACTGCAGACGGTGCGCAAATTTGATTAAAATCGGTTATGTAGTTTAGGAGTCCATCGCGGACAAACAACGTGACACGTTATTTATATACAACATGTAACATAATTAACGCACTTTGAGAAAGTAGTTTGTTCAGAATCGTTTACTGAATCGATTCCTATCATTTTTAATATAGGTAATTTTTTATCCCAAAAATAATTAAGAATACGTAAATTATAGTCACACTAAATCTGTACAGTCAAAACAAACTGAAATGGACCTTAACTTAAGACTTTTAAGAGCGCAGTTTTATTTGTATTATTACTAATTCTGCCATTCAATAAAAATAAACAAAATGAACTTTATTTCAAGCACGTTAAAGTCTTTGCGTTCGTGGATTTGTACTGTTAAGACAACAATCTTCCGGAATTAGTATAACTAATTTGATAAATAATCAGTGCATAAAAATGTTTAACTAAAAATTCAGTGTATGTTTTATGATTATAACATAATATACTAATTGGGGTGTCTGAAAGTGAGCGTTAATTACGTTACATATTGTATATTAAGATAATTATATACTCCAATAATTTCCGGTCACATTGGCCAATCTCAATGAAGACAAGCAATCTGCGCAGGGCAGGTTTATTTTATACGAGTGTGTACGAACAGGTGCACTCTTTGTTCCCTCACTGCCATAATCCGATGGGACAGAAACTCCACACGACAGAAGAAAAATTAGGCGCAGGACCAACGTGCTTTCCGAGGCAAGGTAGGGAACACGGGCAATTACCTGACTTCGTACTGCTAGTGAGGATTCCTTAACAGAAAAACTCAATAATTGATTTTTGGTTCGACACGGAATTTGAACCTTTATGCATACGTCTTGCATAGAAAGGAAACAGAGCGGTGTGATTGTTTGTCCCTTTCTCCGTGCCGGTTTTTTTGTTTAGCAAACTACACTTTGCTAAACAACTTTGACAGTTCGTAGTGATCTAAGGAGTTTACAAGTTGGTTTAAGTGAGAAAAAAGGGGTTGTGAGCTTAAGATTGATGAATCTTAGAACAATTAAAGATTTTATCTAAATATGTTTA